AGTGGGTTTCCCACTAGGGACGCCGTGAGCTCCCGTATCTCTTGCACATACTCGTGCAGTTCGCGTCTTCCTTGTTTACACGCGAGGAAGCGCGAACGCTGGCGGTACTCGTAGTTCGCCGGGAGGAACGCGGCTCGGAGCTGTTCGCACAGCTGAGCCCAGGATGTGAAACATCCAGGGGATGTCGCTTCCCGAGTGTACACCCAACTCTTAGCACGACCGCTAAGGTTGGAGAGTGCAAAAGCAACACGCAGTTGCTCGGTCGAGATCAGAGCCGCGTCCATCGCGAGCTCTACTTCTCGGACCCAGAAGTGAAGGTTCTCGCCTTCCTTCCCTTCATACGGCTTTACCTTCAGCCGTATTGGCTTCGGGTGAGGCGGGTTTGCTTCCGCCGCCGGAGCCTGCAGGTTCTCCCGCACATGCGCGATGAGGCCCTGCTCGTACGCGTCGAATGCATTGACGCGCTCGAGCTGCTCAGCCGGTGTTGATACCACCAGGCTCTGCAGGGCCTCCATCCCGAAGATGCCTGCCATCTTCCGAACCGACTCGAACTGAGAGTCGTTCATATGGGAGAAGTCGTTCCTATCCATGGCAACGAACTTCGGAGGTTCAGGTAGTCTACCCGCGATGGCGTGGATTGACTACAAGTGCTACCAAGTGTGACGGGGTCACACAGCACCTTGCGCTAGAGGAAGTTATCTTCTGAGAGTATACAAACTCTCAGTGAACGGCAGTTCACAGGTCCCCTCTTTAATTAAAGAGAGCGAAGTGACCTAAATAAGGTAGATTGTAAACTGAGTATATTTATAGGTAGGTTAAGTTTGAGGTTAATACAAACTATCAGTTACCTATAGAAATGCAATGTCATTTAACCAATGGTTGGTTTTGAATGACCTTGGTACCTTGTACCAAATATCCCGGAGTATGACATGTCATACTCCTGAAGTGTGAAGTGTCACACTTCATGTAACCAGGGTACACTTAGTGCCACGTACCCCGTTACACGCACCCACTCCTGCCACGGCATGTCCGCCAGTCTCATCGCCTCAAACGCGCCCAGCCAGGCTTTCACGCCGAAGCAAATTGCCGCTTTCTTCTTCAAGCCAGTTCTTGATGAAGAAGGCGACCCGACTGGTTATCACGCCTGTAAGGCCTGCGGAAAACGACGCAAGCACGTCGCTAGGAATGGCTACACTAATTTGGTGACGCACGTGCGCACCGCTCACCCTCGGTTCGAGAGCGACATGCGTGATGCCTCCGAAGCTGCTACGGGGACTCTTGTATCTTAAGTGAGCCAAAAAGCCTCCAATCGATACGCATGGCTCAAGTGGATCGTCATGGACAACTTGCCCCTTTCCTTTTGCGAGTCAAAGGCAACGCGCCGGTACGTACACAAATTTTAGTCTTACTAAATGTAAAATGGGCTAAATTAATTTGATCAATTTTGTGACAGGTACTCTAATTTGGCGAATGTGTCTGTAGACGCACTGCTTACCAACATGGAAGGTGTCACGAAGGTCGTAGAAACAACGATCGGACGCGATATGCCCAGTGACTTTGGACTCATACTCGACGATTGCAGCTTCGGGACCGAGCAATACCTGGGCGTTCACGCGTGCTACGAAACCTCTAGCGGCCCACAATACCCTCTGTTATCCATCGCTCCCGTTATGGATGAGCCGGACGACAACCTAACCGCAGAGGGCCATCTATGGGCTATCGACCGTTTTTTGCCATTTTTTGGTAAAACCATTCAAGGTGTAAGATTCTTAGTCGGTGACAACTGCGCAGTCAATAAGCGGCTCGCAAACCTCATGGAGGTGCCGCTTGTTGGCTGCGCCAGTCATAGATTAAATCTTGCTGTGCGTGATTTCCTCCGTCCCCATGAGGATATCCTCGAAGAAGTGCAACTGCTGATGCGCAAGCTACGTACTCTGAACCAAGCAGCAAAATTGAGGTACGCTAATTTTGTGAATTGTGATTTAAGTATCGCAAAAGTGTTTTCATAATTGTATTGGACTAAAAAAATTGTTTTACGTTTTAAATAGACTCAAAACTCCATTGGTTGCGGTCCTGCGTCAAAATACGCGCTGGTCATCGACGTTCACGATGCTGGATCGTTATGTTCGCTTGCGAGAGGTTCTATCTGCCGACGACGACGATATTGCGGACCTGCTGCCGTCCAGATCTTCCCATCGCCGGCTAGAGGACTTGCTGGCTAAGCTACGTTGCGTGAAGTCGATTTCGAAGAAATTACAGTCGGACACTCTCACACTTTTGGACGCTCGGGATTTATTTGATGGATTGCTGGAGGAGCGACCGTCATTTCGCAATTATCTGTGTAAGTGCTTGTACTGGTATTCCTTATTTTACTTATGTATTAACTAACGTATGAAACAAATTACGTTTTTTTATTTACAGCTCCTTACGCCGACATCGTGCACTCACCGGCTTTTGAAGCTGCTGTAGTCAAAGTGCTCGCCGGTGAGGCAGCGATGTTGACTTTGGAGGAGTCAGCGCAACTGAAGCCGTTTAAAGTTCCTGCACCGACTCGCGAAGTGGTGACCTCTACCGGGACGGACGGATTTGCTGACAGCATCTTAAAGCATCGCAAAATTGCAGCAGAGCAGTCGACGTACAAGTTGGTTTCTGCTATACCTCCGACGTCCAATAAAGTCGAAAGGCTATTCAGCGTCGCCCGTGGTGTTTTACGCCACCAACGACGCCGCTTGTCGCCCATGACTTTGGAAATGATACTTTTCCTGAACGTCAACGCGATCTATCGGGACGTGTCAACAGTAGAGGCCAGTCTTTAAGTCGTTCCTTTAATACAGTCCAGTTTTGACTTGATTGCAGTATTTTATTTTACAATGTGCTCGTTTTTCAGTTATTTATTTTCCTGCAACAGCAGCCTCGATCAGTTATGTATTTGACAGTAATACTTTCAGCAGCTTTATATTGTATTTACGGAATCCCTGCTCACGTGTGTGGGAGCTATATCTACCTGGTTTACTCGCACAAAATATGTCAAAAGGATTCGTTCTCCTTGTAGACAACCTATACGGTCACGTCTCAACAAAGCCCGACGCTATCGTGTGCAATGAACTGGGTTCAACTCTACAAGCTCTTCCTAAAAATGTAACGTCGGTCTGCCAGCCCTTAGATAAGAGTATTATGGGCCCCTTGAGTACCATGCTGAAAGAACACTGGCTGACGGAAAGGCCAGCACCTCTTCCCCCCGGACAAGAGACAAAAGAAGAAGATTGCGAAGGAAAAAGGGCTAGCTGCTATTAACCGAGCCATCAAAGCTTGGGAGATGGTAAATCCCACCACGGTCACGAAGCCATTTAGCAAAGCCCTTCAAACTAAGTTTTAGCAAAATACAGCTGCCTCTTTATTTTGCTTATAATAAATGACTAAATTGAAGTTGACCTTCAAAACCTTCAAATCAAATATGAAAAACAACAGCCAATCATTTAGCACCTGCAGGGGTGGCAGTTATGTTCTGTCTACCGCTGTACTCGATCCGATTGCTAATCACCTTACCAAATAGGTGCGATTCATCCTCCTCCCGACCAATCAAGAAAAAAACGATGATGGTCACCACTACTCGCCTAGCTGATTGACTACATGTACTGGCCTGCCTGTTTCACTCTTGGTTATATAATCGAATGCTCGAAATGTTGTCATACATTGCAATGCATGCTCACCGCTCACCTAGATCGTGAGGATGGTCCCGGCACAAGATGAACGGTAGCTCACGCACAGGATGATAATGGCATAGTCCATTAGCTCGGATAAGAACCTGTCGGGGCTTGAGGTCTCTATGCACTACCCACACGAGGCGATTCTAGCATCCACTACGCAGAGCTGGGGTGGGCTGTGACGACCACCGACAGGGTCATGAGATGCCATAGCTACAAGTGTAGATAAGTGACAGCTGTTTACCCATAAAATAACATATGAGAAAACACAGTTTTCTCGCGGTCGTAAAGTCTTGTTCGATCAAAACGACTACCAAATAATTTATTTTTGTATGGATTGCAAAAAGAGCATGAAAGTGCCCTATCGGTGACGCAGGGCAATAGGTAATGCAGATAAAACTGGCAACCACAAAGAGATAGATACCTGGGTGCGCTAAAGGCCCTGGCTTGAGTATATATTGGGTTTAGCTTCTTGCAGAGCAACAGCAGCGGCCCATGTATATATAGGCGCAAAACTTTCAGAACGTGCAGTCGCCTCTTTTTTTGTCAAAACCAGGGAGATACGTCTCCAGATCCAGCTCAGACGGGTCGACTGTAAACTGACAGGGCAGCCATTACCAGATTATCTTAAGCGATGCTTTCACTTTGAGGCGAACGTCGCAGCGAGCTAGCACCAAGTGAGTGCAGCTAAAGCGCATTGGCATCCAGCAGCAAGTAGGAATCTAGCCGACCACGGCATCCGATTAGACCAGTGAGCAACAACGCCGAAGCCGATGAAGGTATTGCCGGGAAAGACGAGGAATCAGGACACGAAGACGGCGGGCGACGAGGTGAAGATGGGCAGCGCGAGGTGCAAGCTCGGCTAAGTCAGCAAGCTCGGCTAAGTCAGCAAGCTACCGAAGAAGCGCGTAGAGCGCGCCTTGAGACAAAATCGGAAAAGGCTAGACTTGCCCCCCACTTCTTTTACGATTGTGCTGCTGGTAGGCCCCGCGGGGAGTACACCACCAGCGAATTACCACAAGATCCTCAGTAGAGCGAATCTTTTTGCGAAGTGTCCGACCAAGCCAAAAATAAAAATTTAGGCTTGGCTGTCAAAATCTCAAACTCGGGTCGTATACTACATTCTCGATGGTCTTTTCCTACTAAAAGGGAGTGTTATTGTATCGTAGCTAGCTGAAAATAGCTCGAGTTCAATAGATGACAGAAGTGCTGACTAGAATACAAAAGTCAATGATGTGCTGATGTAGGGAGGTTGTGGAAACTTTTAAGAGACAGCCATTCGTTTAACCGACAGGGGTGGTCGGTCACTTTCTATATGAGCTGCTCTTTTCCTCAACCTAGCTTTCAGACACATGAATATGTGACTGCTAGAGCTAACGTATATAAGTCTCCATTAAAAAAAGTTAATGAAATGAAGACTTGAATCTGTATTTACATTAGCCCTACCATAAATTTTATTGTATTTATTTTACATTTTTTAGTATTATACGTGTGACAAATAAGAACGATACTTAGAGTACTTGAAAATTTCCAGCCTAACTTTTTTCCAATAAAGCTTACGGAGAGAAAACTACGTGACATCTGGAAAATTATATAAATACTAAATTCTAGAACATGTGTATATTCTACATGTTAGTACCGGTAAGCAAAAAAGTGGAATGGTCCTCGAATTGGGGTTTTCGCTGTAACAGCCCGCGTCTGCGTCTACATGTATTGGAGGATTTGTGTAAACCCCAGTCTTATTAAATAGAAGCGCTATTTACATAATCGGAAGGCCAAGATGTATACACACGGTGAAATTTTGCAGTAACATGTACGTCGAAGTAGATCCTAGTTAGTATTGGTAACATGCAAAGGCCATAAGGTACTTCACCATTGTATTAATAATGTGGATCTGTGCCACAATCAACGCCACAATCGGACCTGGAAGATTTTTTTGTCGAAACTGAGTTGTCGTGATCTGCAGCACCAGTTCAAATCCCTTTAGCTTAGATGGCACAACAGCGCGATCATGTGATACTATACACGTATACTCGAAATCACTACCGGAAAGATTTAACTAAGTACCGGTACCAGGAGCAATTACTGTGTCCGGGTATCTAAAATACCTACGTAAAACATGTCCGTACCGGTACCGGTAAGTAAAATGCGTATCAGTATACACGTTTGACCCAAAAGCTTCGTTAGAAAAATGTCCGCTCTGTGCAGCAATCATTAATTCATCTTAGTAAACACCAATTTAAGAAACGAGCAGAAACCAGCTCCTTTCCGGTGACGCGATGCTCGTCGCGGTGATACACGGGGAAAGTCGCCGCACAGTATCCTCGCGCTGTCGGCACAGTATGCTGCATACTGTATGCATGATGCATTGCATCCTAGTCGCGGACGGATATAAACCGGATACGGAGATGCTTTGCAGGGAAGCCCGCTGTACATGTACACGTATTTCAGCTAATAACTACTTTTGAAGTAGTTATTAAAAAGGTTCCTATGGAAACCAGTCTATCAAACAGTTATTGATCCAGTACATGTGCCTAGAGTACAGTCTGTATCATGCACCGGAACCCTGCGAGTTGCTGCACAGGGGATGGGCGGTGCTCCGTCTCGGTTGAAACGGTGCTGCGCATCCTTCTTCCTTCAGTTATTAACATGCGAGGTGGCAGGCATCCGGCGACTGGTATTAAGTATTAACCCTCAGCACCCATCGCCATTTGGGTGAAAGCTGCAAGATTAAAGCGCGGTAGACCTGATCTATTTATTAATAAAAAAACTATTCTATTAAAAGTTCACAGTACCTCGGCAGCTCATGTATTTTCTTAGATGCATGTACACATCCGGATGAACTGTACGGGCTGTCACTGCTTTGTCCTCATGTGGTGCTCCGTATCTTCGTCAGGAAGTCTCTGCTCTGCTCTGCTGCAACAGCAACTTGTTGCAGCAGGACAGCATTTTGCATGTGCAAAGCCTCAGCCGCCTCTAATCCCTGGCACTCGATGCAGCCAAGTCGGGGAATGGAGCGCGGCGAAGTTGCAGCTTTGCACGGACACTTGCGCCCAGTATACTTGCTGTGGCAAAAGAGCCGTCAAAGCGCATCGACTCTGTCCGGGTGAACTCAACCAACGTCCTGCGTGAGAAAGGCAAGTCTGCAGCGGCGGACCCGAAGAAAGGTTGAATCGCTCTTCGCTTTCGGTCTCCTCGCGAGCTGGTTTCACTTTGGAATTTTTCTTCACGCGGAGAAGTTCACCCAAGCAGCAGCTACACTTTGACATCGCGCCGCTCGACCTTCTTCCTTCGTGTCGTTCAGTTCTCCGCAGATGGCGACCTCAAACGGCAAGACTGCCTTCTTCACTATGGAGGACGCTAAGGCGTCTTTCAACCTCTTCTGCTGCGTCTGCGGTATCGGATCGCTGGCCATGCCCTCCAACTACGCCCGTGCCGGTCCGTTTTACGCCTCTATCGCCTTGGCCTTCATGATCTTCGCCAACACGTACGCCACGCTCAAGCTGTCCAAGGTGATGCTGGTGGCGCCGTCGTCGGTACGCACGTACGGTGACCTGGGCGAGTGGGCTCTGGGCAAGTGGGGCCGCTTCTTCACGGTGGTCTCTCAGATGGGTGTGTGTCTGCTGGTGCCGTGCGCCTTCCTGGTGCTGGGTAGCACTCTACTCGAAGTGCTCTTCCCGGACTGTTTCAGTCAGACTGTGTGGATCATCTTCATGGCTCTCATGGTCATCCCGGTGTGTCTCATCCCGACACTGAAGGAGAGTGCCGGCATGGCCTTTGCCGGTTGCATGGGTACGATCGTCGCCGACATCATCGCCGTTGTGGTGCTGCAGTATAACATGCGTGGCCACGGTTCGATCCCGTCGCCCGACATCACGGCTCACCAGGTTCTGACCTGCTTCGGTAACCTTGCTCTAGCGTACGGTGCTGCTATTGTGGTGCCCGACCTGCAGCGCGAACACTCGCAGCCTCAGCGCATGCCGCGGGTGGTTGTGATCACCATCCTCTTCATCTCGGGCTTCTTCGTGGCGATTGCTCTTGCTGGCTACACTGCCGGCGGTTGCCAGCTCTCCGGTAACATTCTGTACTCGATCGTGAGCACGTCGGACCCTCTTGGTCTCGCCCCGTTGGGCTTCACCGCCGACCGTGGTGCCGTTGTGATGGCGTACCTGTTTATGCAGATGCACATTTCCATCGCTTTCTCGACGCTCATGATGCCTCCGTTCTTCATGGCCGAGCGCCTGGTTCTGGGCATGCACCAGAGTCCCGAGATCGTGCGCTTCAACGCCGAGCACGACCAGGCCAACGTGGACCTCGACATGGAGATTCAGGAGAAGCGTTCGTACATGGAGAGCTCGACTCCCGTGGACCCGGCGAACCGTCAGGTGTCTGCGTCGAGTCTGGTCGAGAAGACGGAGGGTCGGATGTCGCACCTGCGTGTGGCTCTGGAGTTCGGTGAGCATGAGGAGGAAGACGAGTCCTACCGTAAGAACCCGCTGCACTACATCGCTCTTCGCATTTGTATTATCGCGATCCTGGTGGTGGTTGCCGTGCTGGCGCGTAAGCGTTTCCTCGACCTGCAGGACTTCACGGGTGCCACTGCCCACACGACGAGCTGCTTGTTGTTGCCGTTGATTATCTACATGCGCGTGTCCTGGAACCGAATGTCGATCTTCGACAAGGGCGCTTCGATTATTTGCATTGTGGTGTGCGCCTTCACGGGTTGCTACGTGATGATCCACGCCGGTGAGCACCTGTTCGCCCCTTCGGACGACGACACTCTGTTCCCGTACTGCGAGGAAGAGTTTATGGATGCGCCGTACTACATCCGCAACAACAGCACCAACTAAGCCGAAACCGAGCCGCAGCAGCGCTTGGAGCAGCGCAGCTTGGTAGAGTCGATATATCATAGTTTTTTTGTGGTATTAAGGATAGATTTATATCCATGCCCGACATATTCTAATGGACGACAAGTACATGTCTACACCTCTAGTGAAAATCAAAACGGTTAACGTCAAAATCTCAACATTAAAATTTTACAAAACCTATATTGTGATTTTGTATCCAGAGCAAAATGGATATTATCCAACTCAAATGGCTACTTTCCGTACTCCATCGGCTCGGAGCGTTTAGCAGCAGCAACAGCGTGTAGTGCTGTAATCGGAGCTCTTTTCGTGCCTTTGAGTAACTGAGATAATTGATGCCACAACAGGTTTTTAATTCCTCTTTGAAAAATTACATTGCCAACACTTGAGCTTCTACAAAACTGTCGCAATTTCGCTTGCTGCACAGCGTGAACACAGCTCGAAGCAGCAGTAGAGCATCGCGGAGGCTGAGAAAGCATGGCTTGTAGTTTTGATTTTGCACTACCGGTTACCTATTGAACTTTAAGCTTCAGCAAACTTCAAAGTAATAGCTTATAATTACTACTTGAATTATTTTTATTGTAAATACATTGTGTGTTGCGGCTCTCGTAGTGACAAAGCAATCTCCTCAGGAGAGTCTCCTGCGCAGCTGGAGCATCTGCCCAGCTCCAGCGATGGTGCATACAACCTGGAAACCGCACGACGTATCCGGATAATAAGCGGGTGAAGCTGACATCCGATAATTCAAACGCAAGTTTACATGTTATCAGTTTCACAACCAGTAAATGACCCTGTTCAGTGGCTTCATCCATCAGCCATTTGCTTTAGCTACTGTAGCAGTACCGATTGTAGTATAGTCGACAGCACGATGGACATTGTCAACAGAATTTTCATTCTCCTGCAGCAGCATTAGATTCCAGAAACACCTAATCACTTTGAAAGTGCTAGCTTAGCTACTGTGTCACAGCGCCAATAGCTAATAGAGTAGGAGAAAGAGGAATATACATCCGAAATACCACACGCCGTGAACGGATGCTGCCATTAGCTGCGATATTTTTTCCGGAAATGTGAGGTATTTTCCATTTACGTTTATTTCCAGACCATTTGAATGCTAACAATCACTCTAAAGTAAAATTTTAACAAACAAACAAATTAAATCTACCTAGATACTCTCTCTCTCTCTCTTGGTATTGGTCTCGCTGTAGGCGAAGGTTTCATTCGTTTCCTATACCGTACTAATTTCGTATACGACATAAGCTGAACTACTGTATGTTCAACAATCATCTTTTTAAAAAATGGTACAGGGTTCATTTTTAGGGAGAAAAAAAAAAACAAAGAGGGGTTTTGTTTCATTCCTTGGTGAGTGCCAATCAAGCATGCCATATCTTACAGCTCCCCAGATTACATCACAGCATTCCTGCTCGTATCCCACCATAAAATGATGCCGAGGCAGCTTCAGGAAGCCCAGCGCGTCATTCTGCATATTGCAATTGTTTGTACCAGTACAAAATGTAGCACGCGTACATCGGCGCGATCTTTCTTTATTGTGTTGTTTTGCAGTGTACTGCTGAATGCTGAATCTTACCCCCCTAGTGGAGTCTGGTGTGCGTCTGTCAGTCCGTCCGAGGGTAGGGTTCTAAAATGTAACGCAAATACGCGCGTTCTACTGGCTGCCGAGCGCAGCGAAGGCGGCCTCAATTGGCTAAGATAGGCATTGTGTTTTGTACACACTGTATGTGGTCTACACATCGTACTTAAAAGCACCGTTCAAATTTCATTTTGCCCTCATTTCTAGCTGCGGAGAGCCACGACACGCATAGGGCGCTGCCTGTGTACGCGTTAATTAGCATTAGTGGAAGGCGCCGATGAGCACACACGTACTTTATCGTCGTAGGATCTGTTGAAAAGAATTGTAGGCCCTGGGGACCTATAACTTGGCTTCAATTGGAATTTTAGTACTTAATGGGTATAATATGATTTGTTTTAGCTTCGTAGTACTTCTGTAATAATTTAGCTTACAATAGTATGATTTGTATTACTATTATAAAGCTCTTTCATATTTTTGCTTGCAGTCATTTGTAGTAGTAGTACACATAAAAATTATATCAGCGTTTAATAATAAATAACAATTGTATTACTATTATTAATAATGTACAAACTTTAAAATATGACTATTGTGGCTTACACCCCTGCACCTCCGTAATAAACTATTGTCTTCCTTTGTATTTGCGCGCGTAGTGTGCGACCTTCAGATATTATGTGAACTTTCCAACAATATACGTTGTGTACATCAAACAAAATGGGAACAGCGTTTGTGATTAAGTTGGCGCGGATGCACATGTCTAAGCAAGGACACGAAACACGAAGGAATACCGACCTACACTATGTACACGATGGGATAGAAGAGCAACACGAAGCACGGAAGGCCATGGACGATGATAGAAGACTTAGCCGATGCAAACCACGAAGTTTTATAAGTAGCGTGAAAGATGAAAGAGCACGCAGCCATGAAAAGAACAGATGGAGAGAACATGACAGGAACGTACGGGCCACGGAAGGGAGCTAAATACATAGACACCCCAGCATGCTGAAAAGCACGGGCTACGGAAGAGCACGGACGTTCGAAGCCACGGTAGAACACGTATCGGTGAGAGTGCACAGAAACAATACTCCAACAACACCACGGGTAAACATGGAGCACAGTCAACCGACCAAATCTGAGCCCGCAGGAGGCCAGATACGGGAAATCAGAAATCATCAAATTTTGGAGCACGATGCCTAGGTAGAACATGAGCTCACCGATCCACGGAGCGCGACACTACGGTAGCTAACGATAAGACAGACGACAGCCCCGACACTAGAGATAACACGACAGCATGGACGGTGGGTTATCCACTAAACCATCGGAGAACACGCTGCCACGCGAAATCACCGAGTCACGGAGCACCATACCAGTGTAGAACCTGAGCTTAGCGAGCCACGGAGGACAGCAGTACATGATAACACGATTGCACGGACTGCGGACCGCCCACCAACTGCACAGGGGGTGGGCTTGGTATGGCCACGATTACACACCGTGGAGCACGATGGCATCGTAGAGCACGATAACACGGACAACGCAGATGCACTACACGTGCACAATACTATAGACAGCATTACCACACCGCGATTGCACGATAGCGTGATACCGCGGTCGATGGAACCTCACCAGGAGAGCACGATACACGGGTGATGAAATAATACGACTGCGTGAATGCGCCAAACCACGGAATAGCACTCTTCGGCCAGAGTACCAGCGATGGGAGGCCAACGGCCACGAAAGAGGCAAATAGTTAAGTACACGAAGCCAAGATCTACTGGGGTGAACGACGCTAACGAAGTACGTGACATTAAGAAGCACTTAAATTTGCGGCCACCGCATCTCCAACAAACCATGCCACTCCGCCGCGTAGCGGCGGCGAACGGCTAGTCTTACCCCCCTAGTGGAGTGTGGTGTGCGTCTGTCAGTCCGTCCGAGGGTAGGGTTCTAAAATGTAACGCAAATACGCGCGTTCTACTGGCTGCCGAGCGCAGCGAAGGCGGCCTCAATTGGCTAAGATAGGCATTGTGTTTTGTACACACTGTATGTGGTCTACACATCGTACTTAAAAGCACCGTTCAAATTTCATTTTGCCCTCATTTCTAGCTGCGGAGAGCCACGACACGCATAGGGCGCTGCCTGTGTACGCGTTAATTAGCATTAGTGGAAGGCGCCGATGAGCACACACGTACTTTATCGTCGTAGGATCTGTTGAAAAGAATTGTAGGCCCTGGGGACCTATAACTTGGCTTCAATTGGAATTTTAGTACTTAATGGGTATAATATGATTTGTTTTAGCTTCGTAGTACTTCTGTAATAATTTAGCTTACAATAGTATGATTTGTATTACTATTATAAAGCTCTTTCATATTTTTGCTTGCAGTCATTTGTAGTAGTAGTACACATAATAGTTATATCAGCGTTTAATAATAAATAACAATTGTATTACTATTATTAATAATGTGAAAAACTTAAAATATGACTATTGTGGCTTACACCCCTGCACTCCACACTGCCTCCGGGAGAAATATCACCTTCCTTTGTATTTGCGCGCGTAGTGTGTGACCTTAAGATATTATGTGGGCTTTCCAACAATATACGTTGTGTACATCAAACAAAATGGGAACAGCTATTGTGATTCAGCTAGCGCGGATGCACATGTCTAAGCAAGGACACGAAACACGAAGGGATACCGACCTACACTATGTACACGATGGGATAGAAGAGCAACACGAAGCACGGAAGGCCATGGACGATGATAGAAGACTTAGCCGATGCAAACCACGAAGTTTTATAAGTAGCGTGAAAGATGAAAGAGCACGCAGCCATGAAAAGAACAGATGGAGAGAACATGACAGGAACGTACGGGCCACGGAAGGGAGCTAAATACATAGACACCCCAGCATGCTGAAAAGCACGGGCTACGGAAGAGCACGGACGTTCGAAGCCACGGTAGAACACGTATCGGTGAGAGTGCACAGAAACAATACTCCAACAACACCACGGGTAAACATGGAGCACAGTCAACCGACCAAATCTGAGCCCGCAGGAGGCCAGATACGGGAAATCAGAAATCATCAAATTTTGGAGCACGATGCCTAGGTAGAACATGAGCTCACCGATCCACGGAGCGCGACACTACGGTAGCTAACGATAAGACAGACGACAGCCCCGACACTAGAGATAACACGACAGCATGGACGGTGGGTTATCCACTAAACCATCGGAGAACACGCTGCCACGCGAAATCACCGAGTCACGGAGCACCATACCAGTGTAGAACCTGAGCTTAGCGAGCCACGGAGGACAGCAGTACATGATAACACGATTGCACGGACTGCGGACCGCCCACCAACTGCACAGGGGGTGGGCTTGGTATGGCCACGATTACACACCGTGGAGCACG